TGGTATTTTTAAAATGCCAAAAAAGCCTATCGATAACTCAATTTTCTTGTAATTCCAGAAAACTGGGATCACAGTAATGCCATCAGCTGACTATACTGATTACGAGAACTGTATTCAATTCCATCTTTAGGATCTACTAGAACCGCGGAGCAGCAAAAGACAGAAACTGGTCTAGATGGAATGATTTTATTAACATGGTGATCATGAATATGGTACCCTTTTCTCATGGTAGCACCATACCGCAGGTGAACATACAGAACGCAATTTTTCATTTTCTGCAGGCTATGATTGGAACCCCCACTCTGCTATTCCTACAGTAAGATCCTATCGTGTAAGATATATATGATATTCGCAATTAGCATATCCGACTGCTCCAAGACATATCATACAGCACTTTTCACCTTCTTGCATACGAAAATAAAATTGACTTTTTTGTCGTTCAAATTTTTGAAGCCAATAACTTCTAATCTACTCAACCAGCAAAAAGGCAAGCGGGTATTCTGTATCTTGCAGAGGTAGACTTTTTCTATCAAAATATGTAGCAGGTTGCCAAAGCTTATGCTATGGAATTTTCTGAGCATGTAAAATCGGCACAAACTTATCGGCAATGCAAAGGATAGGGCGCTTGTATGAAAATGGACACTACCTTTCTCTCGCGGCTGATTACAGCCATCGATGGTAAGTGAACTGTTTAACAAGTCAAACAATTACTCCTCTCAAACAATTCACCTTTCCTTCCAGAAACTACGAAAAAAAAATTCGATTCAACATAAGTCGCGTATGGAAAGATAGTAGAAATCGATGTTCAAACTCCCGTGAAAACTTCACAGATTTTGCTATGTGCCGTCTAACTTATGTTTGACTTGAAAAATCAAACCCTCCAGAGCCTTTTCTTTATGACTATCATACTAATCATATTGATTGCTGACAAGATGAGAAACCACATTATTAATTTAAAATCTACGCTCTTATTTAAGCTCGCTTGGTCATTTCAAAGAAAATAGATCAAAAACTTACTCCGCTCCCGTTCTCTTTCCATTTCTCGTTCCTTCTCAGAATCTTCGGATTCACTTGATGAGGATGAAGAAGACTCTCCAGAGTCTGATGAAGAGCTCGCCTCATTCGAGACATTCTGTTCTGGCTTGATAAGGGGCTTCTCATCGGGTGGATTAACAATCACAGCAGTTGGTTCTGGAAACAGGTCTTTGCACGATGGTATCAATTGACGAAGTCAGTCGTTACCTTCTTTGTCTTTAACTGCAACTGCAGGTTCAGCTTGCTCTGCTTTTAGACCTTCTTCCTTGAGACAATACGAATTCTTAACAAAAGAATGACAACATCTGTATCCCCATTGCCCATTCTTCCAATAAGATC